AGGTTGAGGAATCAGAGGAACTCAAGCTGGTTCTTGATGAGTATGCAGGCATATTTGGAGAGCCTACATAGTTATCTCCCTCAAGAGGGGTGTTTGATCATCATATTCCCTTGAAGGAGGGCAATTTACCAGTTAAATCAAGACCTTACAGGTACTCACCAGTGCAGAAGGATGTCATTGAGATAATGGTTAGGGAAATGATGAACCAAGGCATCATACAGTACAGTTCTAGCCCCTATGCCTCTCCAGTGGTGCTAGTGAGCAAGAAAGATGGGTGTTGGAGGCTATGTGTTGACTACAGAGCCTTCAACAAGGTGACCATTAAGGACAAATTTCCTATACCCATCATTGAAGAACTCCTAGATGAACTTGGAGGTCACAGATTTACTCCAAGATAGACCTAAGGGCAGGGTGCCATCAGATTAGAATGGCACCAAATGATGTCCTGAAAACAGCATTCAAAACTCATTCTGGGCACTATGAATACCTGGTCATGCCCTGCACCTTCCAGTTTTCAAAGTCTGATGAACCACATTTTCCGAGAGCATATCAGGAAATTCATCTTGGTCTTCTTTGATGATATCCTAGTTTATAGCAGAAATTTGGAAGAGTATCTACAACACTTAAGAAGGGTCTTTGACTTATTACTCCAACACCAGTTGTTGGCAAAGAAAAGTAAATGTGTCTTTGCTGCAAAAAGGGTGGAATACTTAGGTCATTATATCTCAGCTCAAGGGGTATCTACCGATCCTAAGAAGGTTGAAGCTGTCCAGTAATGGCCTGAGCCTCAATCTGTGACTCAATAAGAGGTTTTCTGGGGTTAGCAGGGTATCATAGGAGGTTCATAAGAGGGTATGGAATGATCAGTAAACCTCTCACTAACATGCTTAAAAAAGATGGGTTCATATGGACTGAAGGAGCTAGAAGAGCCTTTAGCCAACTTAAAGTTGCCCTCACCACAGCTCCTGTATTATCCCTCCCTGACTTTTCATTGGCTTTTGTGGTTGAGACTGATGCCTGTAATGTAGGCATTAGAGCTGTTTTGATGTAGAAGGGACATCCTATTGCTTTTCTCAGCAAGGGAATATCCACACATCATCAGTCTTTGTCTGTATATGACAAGGAATTGTTGGCACTAGTGATGGCAGTCAACAAATGGTCTCAGCATTTGACAATTAGACCCTTCATTGTTAAAACAGATCAAAGGGCTCTAAAATTCCTTCTAGAACAAAAGCTTCACACTGGAACCCAGCTCAAATGGATCACTAAGTTGATGCAATATGACTTTAAAATAGAATATAAGAGAGGAAAGGAGAACAAGGCAACAAATGCCTTATCTAGAATTCCACTGATCCAATTCGCTTCTATGACCCTATCTACCGTGATGACTGATTTGCTAGAAATGATTATGCAAATCTGGAGCTAGATGAAGAACTGAAGGCAATCATTCAATCAACACAACAAGGAGAAGCTGATGCTAAGGGGTACACTTTTATACATGGCCAACTCATGAAGAAGGGAAAGTTAACCTAATCTTCAACTTAGGAAGGATATCATGCAATTGTGGCATAGCTCAACAGTAGGAGGGTACTCAGGGATAGAGAACACCTACAGAAAGGTAGTTGCTCTCTTCTATTGGAAGAACATGAGACAGGAAGTTTAAGAACTGGTCAAGGCATGTGATGTTTGCCAGAGGCACAAGTATGACAATGCTCCATATCCTGGATTGCTGCAACCACTCAAAATACCAGTGGCAGCATGGAGTAGTATTAGCATGGATTTCATATATGGCTTACCTAAATCTAAAGGAAAAACAGTGATTTGGGTGGTGGTGGATTGACTAACCAAATATGCTCATTTCATAGCCCTTTCCCATCCTTATTCTGCCCATGATGTTGCAAAACTTTTTATGAAAAACATATACAAGTTACATAGAGTACCTGAGAATATCATTAGTGATCGGGATCCCATTTTTACAAGTAAGGTTTAGCAAGAATTGTTCTCTATGATGGGAGTAACACTCAATACCTCTACTGCCTATCACCCTCAAACTAATGGACACACAGAGGTAGTGAACAGGTGCTTGGAGAAATACCTAAGGTGCTTCTTCTCAGACTCACAATTAGACTGGTCCCAATTCTTAGCATCTAGGAGTGGTGGTACAACAAAACCTTCCACACTTCTATGCAGAGCACACCATATGAGACTTTGTATGGACAATCACCCCCACTACACTTACCTTACATGGCTGGGGATTCTCAAGTAGAGGAAGTGGACAAAAGCCTACTAACTAGAAAATTCAAGACACAACTGCTGAAGTATCATCTCAAAAGAGCCCAACAGAGGATGGAAGAACAAGCCAATAAACATAGATCTGACAGACAATTCAAAAAGGGAGATTGGGTTTACCTCAAAATCCAGCCATACAGGCAACTATCCATATCAGGCAGGCATTTTACTAAGTTATCAGCAAGGTACTATGGCCCTTACCAAGTGTTACAGAAGATAGGACCACCGTGAGGACTGATTTGCTAGAAATGATTATGCAAATCTGGAGCTAGATGAAGAACTGAAGGCAATCATTCAATCAACACAACAAGGAGAAACTGATGCTAAGGGGTACACTTTTATACATGGCCAACTCATGAAGAAGGGAAAGTTAACCTAATCTTCAACTTAGGAAGGATATCCTGCAATTGTGGCATAGCTCAACAGTAGGAGGGCACTCAGGGATAGAGAACACCTACAGAAAGGTAGCTGCTCTCTTCTATTGGAAGAACATGAGACAGGAAGTTTAAGAACTGGTCAAGGCATGTGATGTTTGCCAGAGGCACAAGTATGACAATGCTCCTTATCCTGGATTGCTGCAACCACTCAAAATACCAGTGGCAACATGGAGTAGTATTAGCATGGATTTCATATATGGCTTACCTAAATCTAAAGGAAAAACAGTGATTTGGGTGGTGGTGGATTGACTAACCAAATATGCTCATTTCATAGCCCTTTCCCATCCTTATTCTGCCCATGATGTTGCAAAACTTTTTATGAAAAACATATACAAGTTACATAGAGTACGTGAGAATATCATTAGTGACCGGGATCCCATTTTTACAAGTAAGGTTTAGCAAGAATTGTTCTCTATGATGGGAGTAACACTCAATACCTCTACTGCCTATCACCCTCAAACTGATGGACATACAGAGGTAGTGAACAGGTGCTTGGAGACATACCTAAGGTGCTTCTGCTCAGACTCACAATTAGACTGGTCCCAATTCTTAGCATCTAGGAGTGGTGGTACAACAAAACCTTCCACACTTCTATGCAGAGCACACCATATGAGACTTTGTATGGACAATCACCCCACTACACTTACCTTACATGGCTGGGGATTCTCAAGTAGAGGAAGTGGACAGAAACCTACTGACTAGAGAATTCAAGACACAATTGCTGAAGTATCATCTCAAAAGAGCCCAACAGAGGATGGAAGAACAAGCCAAAAACATAGATCTGACAGACAATTGACAATTCAAAGAGGGAGATTGGGTTTACCTCAAAATCCAGCCATACAGGCAACTATCCATGTCAGGCAGGCATTTTACTAAGTTATCAGCAAGGCACTATGGCCCTTACGGAGTGTTACAGAAGATAGGACCAGTGGCATACAAATTGTCCCTTCCTGCCCAGCTCTGGTTGCACCCAACCTTTCATGTTTCCCAGCTTAAGATCTGCCATGATTTACCCTCTACTATAACACACCCTCCTGTTATCGAGCTATCTAGTCCTTATTGCCCACAAGTCCACAACCATAGGAAATAATGGAGAGAAGACTGATTCAAAAAGGAAACAAGGCAATGGCTCAAGTGTTGGTTAAATGGAAGGAGTTACCATTAGAATTGGCAACATGGGAGGACTATTCAGCTCTGAAGATACGTTTTCCATCTTTTCTTTCTTGAGGGCAAGGAAGATTTCAACAGGGGAGAACTGATGTGCAGTTAAAAAGAAGAAGCTTAAGTGAGTTGTACATTGAGCTTGCGGAATTGTACCTAGCCGTTAGGATCGGTTAAAAGACGGGAGTTTATAGCTTTTTGGGATGTGACACTCTAGTCCCTCCCATATAGTTTATTTAATACTTTTATATGTTGCAATTGGACCCATGTAATTAGCCCTTAGTATTACTTTTGGTCCCCTAGAGTTGGTTAGCTAGCTTTGTCTTTTAGTAATAGTGGAGTATATATATATCTGTATCTCTGCAGATGAGGTAATCAATCAAAGAATCATTTTATTAACCTAATTTTATTCCTTTTAGCTTAGTCTTTCATTCCTTCTTTTTACTGTTCTATTGCTGCTGCAACATCATGTGGGAATTTTGAAAGTTTATTTACCAGCATGACAATCGGGTGCAAGTTTAAGTGGTCAGGAGGCCTTTTTGCCTAATTATTTCGCAAGTTACGAATTACATTTGGTAGGTTCTACTTATTCATAGACTCGTGTAATAATTACGTTTAGGTTGCGCGCGTGCTCTTAGAGGGTGTTTGGATTAACTTATTAGAGGTGCTTATTGGTTTTTAAGCATTTTTTGGTGCTTGTCAATGATAATAAGTGCTTAAAAGCACTAAATTTTTTGGCATAAAAAGTACAAAAATAAACCAAAAGCCAAAAGTTGGGTATTAACAACTTATGACTTTTAATTTTTAGCTTAAAAGCTACTTTTTATAAGCCAATCCAAACACCTTATTAGTCTTAGACAAATTAATTAGACAAGACCTTCGATTGTTTTTACATTAGTTGATTTTCGTTTACTTCCTCCACATCGTTTTGGTTTTATAGCATTAGAAAGATTTTTTCTTTGTAAAGATTACTTTAATTATCTGGTAAAATAGAAATTAGAATAGTGAAGATTATTTTTTCCCCCCAAAAAGAACATAATTTACTGGTACAAAATTACAAATTAGGAAATGATTATGATATATTGCGAAGATTTTAGCTACAAGGGCACCTCTGGAAAGTTCGGTATTTTCTGACTTCTATATTTTGAGAGAGCCTCCATATTTTTACTCCTCTTGCTCTTGCCACCTCTGTCGCTTCAACTTTGAAGGTAAGTTAGAGCTCTCAATCGGACACAAAAATGGCTGACGAGGATTATGATATGGACGGAGGGTACGTACATTTTTTTTTTCATCTTCTGTAATTGAATTTTTTACTTGGTTTATGTGTTAATACTCTTTTTTTCGAGTATGTACCTCTTTTTTTTCAAAAAGGTTATGCATAAAAGTAGCTTTTTGTTTTCCTGATTTAGTTTTTGGTGTTAGAGAACCCGGAATTGTTGAGTATTTGAATGAAACGGGTTTAAATGAAAGGAAAGCGGATTTTGACACTGACGTTGTACTAGTAGTTGTTTTACTGAATTATTTTTCTTTGTATTTTATTTGGTTATACAGTTATCTTCTGTGTAGAGCTTAGTATTAAGGTTTATGATTCAGGGTTCATATTTAATTAATAAATAAGTCATTTTTTTTTTGGGTGGAGAGACACTCTGGAAGGAGAAGCTTTTTATTTGGGTTTCTCACTTGGTGTACGATATATGCTTTGGGGTCCAACTAATCCTGATTGGAAGTGCTACTTTGGGGTAAAGCGCTTTCTAGTAAAGCGACTTAATATCTAGGGTTCAATATCGAGACATCTGGTCAAGAATAAAAGAGAAGTTATTATTAGGATTTTAAACCTTTTGACCCATGTACAAGGTGGATGTTCGGTAGGCGCGAGTTTGAAGCTAGAAAAAGTGGATTTCTCGGCTATGTAAAACATCTTTTTGGGCCTTTGTTTTGAATAGGAATATTAAATTCATATAAATAGTTTTTTTATAACCCAGAAATTACGAGGCTAGTGGTGCACGATTTGAAATTCAGTGGATAATGGGCAGGCCCCTCTCCACTCAAACCAAGCTTCTGCCTTGAACCTATGATGTGCGCCTAACCCACACATCATAAGCGGTGCACTCTTACCATAGATCAAAGCTAGGGGGCTCATATAAACAGCTGACAACTTCCACTCTTATTTATTTTTCCTCTGAGCCTTTTATTTCTTCTTTTTGAGTGCGAAATACTTATGCTGCATGGGAACAGTCTTAGTGAAGGACCTTTAGGATAAGGTAGAGATGGGGTGCTCTATAGTGGTCCTACCACTGAGGATGCGCGCAATTACTGTATTTCTGGCTAGATACCTGCCTTATATGGATCATCCCTTTGGCTCAAAGTGGTTACTGTGTCTCTTAGCAATATTGGAGCTTTATTATGGTGTTTAAGTGATTCTGTGTTGGTTAACTAGCTACAGTCAGATAACATTCACCAGTGGGAATGGGGATGGAGGGGCAGCACTCGGGGTGATTTGGGCCATGGGCCTTTTGATCTTGTTGGGGCTTTGCTCCATTGCTTGAAATATGATTTATAGCTCATCACGTGTTGGAATTTGCCAAAAATCAAGTAGTACAGTATCTTGTTGGACGTGAATTTAAGTGTCGGTTCAAGATAAAGTCGTGGAGTGCAGTTGGCTAAAGGAGTTAAAAATGAAGTTTACTCGCTAAAGTTTCTTAAACCTTCTGCATACATATGCCTCATAAGATGCATCTCATGGAACCATGAATTCACAAATTCTGGGCTGCTATCTAGCATTGGTGGCATGGCACTTAACTTATGCATTGGTATTGTTTTGATCTTGTTGGCGCTATAAAAAATTACTATCTTGTATGGTTAAGCATTATCTTACTGGTTTCTTGTTGTCGTCCCTTGCTTATTGGATTTTTGTGGAGATGATTATATTGGACCTGCGAAAAGTCATTTGGTCTCTTCTATATTAGGCATTTAACTGTATAAATTGATGCAGATACGAGGATGAGCCCATAGAGCCCGAGCCTGATGTAAGATAATTTCCGTTCATGCTCCTTAGTATTGGAATGTAATTCGTGTTGCGTAAACAATATTAATCGTCACACATTATTGGGTTTCAATTCATTGTCAGGAAGGAGCAGAGGTGGAAGAAGATAACGTCAACAATGAGGAAGTGCCAGACCCCCGTTTGGGTGAAGGTGAGGAAAAACCAGAGCAGGAGCCTGAGGAGCGACCTCGGAAAACATCCAAGTATATGACAAAATATGAACGTGCAAGAATCCTGGGTACTCGAGCACTCCAGATCAGGTCCCCAATTATCCATTTTGTAAGGATTGTGTTTTGAAGTTTGAAAACTTGGGGTTTTCATAACTTGTGAGTTCTTTTTGTGCTCATGCAGCATGAATGCTCCTGTGATGGTTGAGTTGGAGGGTGAAACTGATCCGCTTGAGGTGAGACTGTCCTTTTATTTTTGTTATTTTACCTGCCCTTAGTGACTTAGCGAGAAAAAACTTATCTGAAGTCTATGACAAACAATAGCCTGTCTCGTAAAGTTTCTATAATGTCTAATGAATTTTCTTTTATTTAATAGATTGCAATGAAAGAGCTCCGAGAAAAGAAGATACCCTTCACAATTCGTCGATATCTGCCAGATGGAAGGCAAGACTTCCTTTTTTATGTTCTGTTGTCCTCTCAATACTCATTGTTCCTTTACTAAAATAGCTTATTTTACTTTTGTTTGTACCAGTTATGAGGATTGGGGAGTTGATGAATTGATCGTTGAGGATACATGGAAGAGACAAGTCGGAGGAGCTTGAAACATGTTTACATGCTGTCTGAACTGCCTCTGCCTATAGGCTCGTGAAGAACTGTTCGGTCGATCAACTTATCCTCTATGAAATCCCAAACTAGTTGTGCTTTGTGAACAACTATTGATGTAGATAAATGCTTGTGTACTCCCTGAAGATATTACTGTAGTCTTGGTTTTCACATCTTTGTGTTTAATAGACTGTGGCTTTTAGTTGGTATCTTAAAATGGTATTCTGCCATTGATCTTCTAAGGAAAGCACAGGTGCTTACGCCTGCTGCTATGGGACACGACAAGGATTTTCTTGTCAAAGTATACCAAGTTTCTAAAGTTTGTCTTAGAATAGAACTTCTCATAATTGAACTTTAGACCTTCGGGTATGAAATTTGAAACTTTAGACCTTAGATCTAAAGTTTGGTTGCAGTTTAATTTCAGACCTCCACGCGGATATTACTGTAAAAATTGGTTCGAAGATATTTATAGCAATGTTTTACTTGTAATTTTAATTTTTTTTTAGTAATTATAATTTTTAATAGGTATACTTCAAATATAATTTTGCTGTGTCGAGGGTCTACCGAAAACAACATATTTACATTCTCAAGAATATGTGTACACACTATCCTTCTCAGATCCACTTGTGGGATTATACTAGGTTTGTTATTGTATACTTACAGATATAACTTCTTTTTCTCAAAATTAAACACTTAACACCTTAGTAAAATAAACATATTATTCAAGTGAATATCTATGTAGGATTTTCTTAGTATAAAAACTGTAATAGTTCGATTTTAAAACATAAAATGTGTATTTTATTTGCTATAGAATTTCTTACATTATTATTCACAATTCACATGTTTTGATTATCAGATGATTCAAAAAAAAAAGCATAGCACAATCTGTTACCGACTTAAACCAAATGATTACTAATCACTTTATCCTCAGTCTCCAAGCTATGACTTAGTTGTCAATTAATTATACATAGTGCTACTTAAATAAATAAATCAATAAATAATTATAGGGAAGAGCTCAATTCGGGTCGGCTTGTACAAATATCACTTCACACAGTACAACAAGTCTCTTCTCTCAGCCCGTTTACATAAAATTCACACGAAATACGTTTATTAGGGCTTCTCCGTCTCCCTCCCTCTCTATTTCAACTAGAGGTGTTAATCGGGCGGTGCCTGTCCGTTATCGGACCGGGTTGGTTAGCGGGTTGGGAATATGGGCCCGTTTGGGTTCGGGCTAACGGGTTCGGGCGGGCCGTGCTAGTGTAATTTTTTTTTGTTTTTTTAGTTAAATTTTGACCGTTGGCAACGGTCCAAATAATTTTAAAAAAAAATGTAACCGTAATCGGGCTGATAACAGGCTGCAGCCCGTTAACGGGTTAATGGGCTTAGCGGGTACGGTGCACCATTATCCAAAATATGTTCGTCCAAAACCCGCCCCCGACCAAGCCGTCCCAGCCCGCACATTAAGCTACAGTAACAGGCTGAACCGGGCTGACCCAGGTTGAAGCGGGTTGAAAACGGGTCAGCTCGGCCCGATTAACACATACAATTTCAAAGGATTTTTTCATTCCTCTACACTATTTGAAACTTTATTACCTTTAATGTTTATGTTTAGCTAATTACCCGACACAAAGAAGTTTTATTTACAAAATATATACAATCCCATCTTAACTTTTTAATTAAATTATCAATAGAAAGTGCAGTGCTCTTAAAACGTATTGAACAAAATTTGAGATTAGCGAACACGTTAAATAGTATATAGCACTAACTATTTTTTGGATACTGATTTTGCAACGATCATTTGAAACTAGCAGAAGTAATAGATGCAACCTGATTTTTAGACGACTGATGAGAATAACAGATTTGTACTGGGTCGATTTAGTGATCTGCTTGATGTTTCAAAGAATATAATGGTTCCACCATGAATACAAAAGAAAGGTAAGACTTCAAATCAGTGTCTCAATATATCCCTTTCTTTGTTTCTCTTAGGAACAGAAAGTAGAAAAACTAATTAAAAAGGCTCCCAAGTATTGCCATCCCTCTATTGATTTAGTTTGAGGTGATAATACAAACAGCAAAGGCTGAAAACTCTGATTTTCTGTACAATCCGATACTACCAACCCTAGCCTTTGGCAAGAAATTATCTTTGCAATAGCAGTTTGCAAAAATGCAATAATATAGCAACAGAAAATAATATTAACAAGAAGAAATGAAAATTACACCACCCCCTATTCAGTTTCTTAGTTGAGTTGATGTAATGCCCAAGCAGAAACTTAACATGTACAGGGGTGAAGGTCAATAAAAAACGTTTCAGTAGCATCGCTTTAATCTTGAGATTGTCATGTTTCATTAAGATACAGTTGTTGCTAATTCTTCGGGCAGACATGATATTAGGCTTCTCCTAAGACAAAATGTACGGCAAAACCAGGGAAAGGTTAATATTTAAAACCATATACAAATTTCTATACAGTTAAATACAACTACAATATCATACAACTTAAATATAATTTTTATACAATGTTGTTCAACTTTCATGCAATAGTTAAATAAATAAAAGAAAAATATATAAACAACATAATACAATTTTTCTACAATTTTACTACAATTTCGTAAATATAATGTATATCATGTCTTCTTCTTCGAGTTTCAATCTGAAATTCAGCCAAAATCCAATCTAATCTTCACCAAAACCCCTCAAAATTGAGATATAAACTCCAAACCATATTCCCAATTGTTTGCAACAACACCCAATCCAAACAAATAATGATTTTTGAAAACCCAAATTTGAATTCAAAGCTTCAAAGCTTTTTAATGGCTGTCAATGGTGGAATTGCTGTTCTCTTTTCCTTTGCTTTACATTACTGAAATTAGGGATTGAGGTATAGAGAGAGATGTACAGAGAATTCCCAATTCTTTGCAACAATATCCAATTCAAACAAATAATGTTCTTTGAAAACCCAAATTCGAATTCAAAGCTTCAAACCTTTTTAATGGTTGTCAATGGTGGAATCGTGGATGGGTGCAAGATACGTGGGGAGGGGGTGGAATGTGGAGAGAGAAACGTAGGGAGTGGAAGATATGTTAGAGTAATTTTAGGATACTTTATTATCATTAATTCCCTTAGGGGTCGTTTGGTTGCCGGTTAGAGTTATGCAGGTATTAGTTATACATGTATTAGTTATGCAGGGATTAGTTATGCAGGGATAAGTAATGCAGGGATTAGTTATGCAGGTATTAGTTATGCAGAGATTATTTTTTTGAATGTTTGGTTTGTTGTATTAGAAATTGATATACATTATATAAATTTTAAAGTAAAATGCTTGTTTACAACTATACCCCTGGCCTTCTTTTGCATTGTTTTTTCTCTCTTTCCATTTATGTAGGAAACAATTTAGTTAGGAACTTTGGGTGTTACTTTCACTTCTTCGTCATACTACTGAACTATGTGAAGTTTAGACATATTTGATTTTCACTTCTTAGTTTTGGTATTTCCATTTTCTAGTGGCTTCTCCAGTTTGCTTTTGCTAGTTTGTTCTTTAAAAATGAGAGAAGACAAGGTATATAGTTGGCAAGTGAAAGCAAGTGAAACCTGTTGACGGGTTGGCAGAGAAATAAGGAAGCCTTATGTGTAAAGTGATCGGGGTAAATTTGTCATTTCAGTATTTTATCCATGTATTACTAATACATGTATTAGTTATTCCATCTTCTACCCTGCATAAAATAATACACAGATTGACTCATAACTTATACATGTATTATTTATGCATAATTGAAAAATGTCAACCAAACATGGTATTAGTTATGCAGAATTTTATACAAAATAACGATTGCCTACCAAACATGGTATAAGTTATGTTACCCCTTATACATGAATAACCTTTCTTCTAACCAGCTACCAAACGACCTCTTAAAATGTACATAAATGGTAATTGGATATATAAAATGGAATTATAGTAAAATTTAAGTAGGGAGGTAATATAGTTTCATATATTGTGTATAGGAATGTAAAAATTGCTAATTTCAACACGGTGATACACGTTCTATTTTCCCTCTAAAGCATTTCATCAAACACCATGGATGGGGCGGCGACTGGCTCTGTTATTCCGGCGAACAGGAGGCGGCCGCCAATGGAGGAAGACAGATTGGTCTTCGAGACATCAAAGGGCGTGGAACCCATCGCTAGTTCCGCTGAGATGGGAATTAAAGATGACCTTCTTAGAGGTGTTTATCAATACGGGTTTGAAAAGCCGTCCGCCATTCAACAACGAGCCGTGCTGCCTATTATATCGGGTCGTGACGTCATTGCTCAGGCCCAATCCGGTGCCGGAAAAACCTCCATGATTGCACTCACCGTTTGCCAAATTGTGGATACCAAATCTTCCGAGTATGTCTTTTCATTCCCTTACTTTTTCCTCACTAGGGTATAGTTTCAATTTTTTTTAATGGATGGTTCAGTTTGGATGAAGCATGTAATAATATGGATATACCTCAGCTAGTTTGGGATTTAGGGTTAGTAGTAGTTGATGATAGTTGTGGTGGGTGGTCAGTACCCGTCCATCCTTAACGGAGTTGTGAGAATAGAGTTGCCTTCGGTAGGGAGCATGTTCCTCCATAAAGCGGGACTACCTGCCGTGAATATGAGCGTATTGACATTGGGTGGGAAACCAAAAAAAAAGTATTTTGCACATAAATATAGTTCTTTTTGTTTATAAGGTAAGATAATGTTTGCACATAAATATAGTTCTGACTATATATTTTGGATTACCTATCTCTGTGCCAGAATAAAGGGGAAGTTATCCAATTTTGTAGGATTAATACTATTGGCCCCGAGGGTTTTGGTCTAGTGGTTAGAATGCAACTCGATGTGTGGATTGGATTCAACTCCCCATACAAAGCTTGATATTTATGTGCATAATGGATTACTGGTAGAGTAATTGGCCCGCTACTCATTGAGTTTCAAACCGTGCGTCGTTGGCCCTCAGTTATAAAAAAAACATTTTAGATTATTACTAAACCATTAACAACAATGATAATTGCCTCATCTAGAACTAGGTGGAGATGTGGAGTTGGCAATATGAAATTTGGACTTGTTTCACTCCAATACAACAACTGTGTGTCAATCTAAAAGTTGTTGTAGTTTGCTATATGAATCCTCACAAATAATTTTTTTGATAAGGTAAATTGTATTGATCAAAAGGGAGAAAACTCCCGTATGCAAGAAGTATACCAAAAAGTAGAGAATTTACATCAGAACATGATTCTCTACAAATGACGCCTAATCTTCTATACAAGTAGGGGCTATATGAGAGCACCAAAAAGCGATCAAAGATAAAAGACTATTCTTAAGATGGGAAAAAGGAGACTCAATCCCCTCAAAAGCTCTCCTATATCTCTCCCCCCAAACTATCCACATGGGAGCTAACGGGGCGAACTTCCACGCCTTTTGCTTTCTTCTTCTACGGAAACCGGCCCAGCTATATAACATTTCCTTTATAGTGCTTGACATCACCCATTGAACACCAATCATGTAGTTCTATTTTGAGATTGTTTTTCTCCAATGCAACAACTATGAGTCAATACAAAAGTAGTTGTAGTTTGCTATATGAATCCTCACTTATCACGCCGTTCTATTTTGGGATTGTTTCGCTCCAATACTTAATGATTGGTTTTTAAGACATTTTGGGGGTTCTTTAAAATTATAGATTCTATGTCTAAACAACAACTATGCCTCAGTCCAAACAAGTTGGGGTCGACGATAAAAGGCAGCCCGATGCACAAAGCATCTAAATCTCAGTCCCAAACAAGTTAGGTACTAAATCAAAAAAATTCCTAGCAAGCCCGGACATAATGTAAGCTAAGTTGCACGGACACGAGTGCGGATCTAGAGGTCGGATCCTCCGAGATGTAAATTCTAAGATTCGGGGATATAGATCCTGGTATGGATACGGGTGCGAGGATCCGGCTAAAAATAATTCAAAAAAAATAAAAATCTAAGGATATCTCTAAATTATAAAAAATCATGCAATACTTACGTATAGCTTGTTTAGTGTGAATTTCTTTTTTATTCTCAAGTTGTAGATAAGTAAAGGATTGATTTCCTAGATAATATATGTTATTTTCTTCAAATTTACCCATACTAGTGTTGTGTCGACACGGGAGCGGCACCTAAACTGCCGTGTCGGAGCAACTTAGAATGTAAGTCTAGAAATAATGGCTAAATCCTTATCTCAACTAGATATTGTTGCTTGTATGAATATTTCGCTTCCATTGTGCTCTATTGTTCGCTTAGTTCACATGAATTTTGAGAAGTTGTAGATTTTTTTTTTATCTCACATGATTTAGGTCTACATATATAGATGATATGTATGTGTATTTGAAAATTTTGAAATTAGACTCATTATCTAGGTTTACACTTGTTGCTTCAAAAAGTGTACTCCCCTCCCACCTCCTTAAAATCCTGAAGCCACATGCTATTTGTTTATATGAAATTATGATAGATGTTTATATTTTCGTTCCTATGACTTTTAAGTTTATCGAAATGCAGATATGATTGACGTGTTTAGTTATAACAACTATGACCAGTAAGGTGATTTTGCTTTCTGGTATAATTCAGAATTAGATGATTGCCTTTGCTCCTGGATTTCTAGATTATTTGATCAAGTGAAGGAAAAATAATAAGGAAATGGGGCTATTGAATTAAAAGTAGTTATTTCATTTTGGCCACTTATAAAGTTTTGAATTTTTATGATCTTTACCTTATCAAAAAATTATGCATTAACGTTCAGGCACATGCATGTATTGGAGGCAAAAGCGTAGGTGAAGATATCAGAAAACTAGAGCAAGTAGTCTCTGGAAGAGTCTGTGACATCATTAAAAGGAGAACTTTACGAACTAGGGGTATAAAATTATTGATTCTTGTAAGTTTATGGCTTTCTCTGACCTTCATATTTTAATTTGCTTGCTGAACTCTTTTTTGTCTGATTACTTCTCCATTAAAATTATTGAGGTCTTACTCTGCTTCTGATGTTTGTTAGGACGAATCTGATGAGATGTTGAGCCGTGGTTTTAAGGATCAGATATATGATGTTTACAGATATCTTCCACCGGAGCTTCAGGTGAGTTGTCTGTTTCTCTAAACGCATACAAAGACTTCCGTTCTTGCTTATTTGGTTTGATTATTTCTACTAACGTTTATTGTTCAAGTTGATCAAGATTTTACAAATCTTCATCTAGAACTGTCTGTATGCTGTTAATTTTGGCATGTGGCTGCCCACCACTGAATCCTATTGATTGGGCGGATCCTTATTGTTCCGTCATTGATCATTATCTGTTGATAATGTTGCTTGAATGCAATTCTCGTGCATGCTGTTGGTGTCTATGTGATGTCTAGAGATTTACTTTGTATTCTTTACATTTTGATTTGCTGTTTCTGTTTTTAACTGTGTGATTCAGTAGTTTAGAAAATCAAGAATCCAGTTTGCTTTGCATGTTTTCCTTGCTTTGAGGGAAAGAAACGGGAATTAAAATTGTCTGGGTGTTCCACTTTCTTGGTAAAGTCCTCTTTGGTCCTTGTTATGTATGATACTTTGTTGTATAGAGGAAGAGACGGTCTGTGCCCTTCTCACCAACTAAAAAATGGAACTGAAAATTTTCATTAGATTCTCCCACTGTGCTTTTATGTACTTACATGTGTGTGTATCCGTCTCTTTTTTTCTTTTTGGACTGGGGGATAAGTATATTAACACTTGACATATGTATATTAACTTTGCAGGTTGTACTGATTTCTGCCACTCTTCCAAATGAAATTCTGGAGATAACAAGCAAATTTATGACAGATCCTGTTCGGATTCTTGTAAAACATGATGAGTTGACTCTAGAGGCAAGTGATGATTTGAATTTTTCTTGTTCACACACATGCCCACACACAGGAAATGCAGATGCACTGTCACAATGATACTGACGTACTAACTTTCAACTTGAATTTGTTTCCTCATGTTGTTTTGTGTTTGTTGCAGGGCATCAAACAGTTCTTTGTCGCGGTTGAGAAAGAAGAGTGGAAATTTGATACACTTTGTGATCTTTATGATACACTCACCATCACCCAGGCTGTTACTTTCTGCAACACAAAACGAAAGGTAACATTGTCTCCTGTTTATTTTGCTCCCAAGTGAATCACATTGGGTTTCCTTTTTGACAAGTCAAGTGAATTATAGTGGACTATTGCCTTAACTAAGAGATGCTGGATTATTAGGAGCTTTTAGGGGTTTGATTGTTTTGTTTTTTTTTTTTTGTGGGGGTGGTGGGTGGGTGGGGTGGGGCGGGGGGGGGTTACGTCATTTCAGGATAGATTTATGTTTTGTATGTGAGTAATTGGATAGCTTTTGAAATCATTCCGATATATGTTGAGCGTCCATTTCGGTGAATGGTGTTCTCTGTAGTAATCAGCGGAGAAGCCAAAAGAAATCATTGTACTTTAATGTATATTGGAGATGGACTAATGCAATAAGTCTTTGACAATGAGGCTGTAATGCACATTGCTTCAAATCTAATGTTCCATGAAAAAACAAAGCGTATAGAAGCAGAGTGCCATTTCATTCAACAAAAGATTACATCGGGGTGCATTTGACAGGTTTTGTCAACTCGAATGATTAGCTAGCAGATACTTTTAAGGTCAACCTGTGGCTCCAAAATCGAGTACATTTGCGGCAAGTTAGGAGCATACAGTATGTATACTCCAACTTGAGAGGGAGTTTTAAGAATGTCAATATTAGGAAATTGTGAATATGGCAAAGGTTTACCTGTAATTGTGTTATTAGGAACGGGAATCACCTTTTTTCCCATTTTTTATTTATTCGCAAACACTATTTAAATTCCGACATGCTTGAGCGCTAAGTTGCTCGGACACGGGTGCGGGTGTCCGACACAGGTGCGGATCTAGAGGTCGGATACTTTGAAATGTAAATTCTAAGATTCGGGGATACGGATCTTAGTACAGACCCGAGTGCGGGGATCCGACTAAAAATAATTCAAAATAAAATAAAAATATAAAAATATCTCTAAATTATGAGAAATTTTATGGAATACTTACGTATAGATTGTAAAGTGGTGGATTTCTTTTTTATTCTCAAGTTGTAGATAAGTAAACCGTTGATTTTCTAAATAAGGTATGCTATTTTCTTCAAATTTATGCTTGTTTTGGTTTTGATTTCGGGAATCAGATTATATCTTGTCTCGAATTTTTCTGTCCATCATGGTCAAAGTACCCAAAATTATTTTGACCAGATCCAGTACGGATCCCATACCCACACCCATATTAGTGTTGTGTCGACACGGGCGTGGCGCCTAAACGGAGCAACTTAGCTTGAGGGAATGTCAAGAATCTATTCTTTCTTTTTCCGCAAATAGGTGCATTTGTTTTTGTACTATGCCTTTCTAAATGAAGTGCGATTAATGTGACAGGTTGATTGGCTGACTAGCAAGATGCGTGAAAATAATTTTACAGTCTCATCTATGCATGGAGATATGCCACAGAAGGAGAGAGATGCTATTATGGCAGAGTTCCGAGGTGGCACGACTCGTGTTCTAATCACCACAGATGTTTGGGCAAGGGGATTGGATGTTCAACAGGCAAGCTCTATGTCCTTTTCTGTTACACAGCCTCCATGCCCTAATTCAGTTCTTTAATTTGTGATATCGAATTTTTAATTGGTTGTAAGCTACTATTACTGATTTTGACAGTCTTGATAATCCAAGTTTACCTAAGCAATCCCCAAGATTGTACTTGTCGTTGAGATCTATGTAAAGATGAGGTTGTTTTTGCCGGTAGAGTTTGTTCTGGACGTTGGAACATGTCAATTATGATCAAGTACAAAAGCTCTAGATACTGTACTTTTTAGTGATGGAAATTGTTTGCTACCTTAAGGATACAACGATAGACTATTACAGGGACTGATCTGGTGCTTGCATTTTTTGAAGTTCTCTAGGTTTTTCCTTTGTAAACATTTCAGTTGATATTTGACAGGCTTGTGTACAATCAAGAAGCCTATTTTCCTACAGAAAATGAATTTCGACATACCTGATGGGATCCCTATCAAGGATAAGAATGGAGCGACAAATGCAACAATAGCTAGAATGTTGACTTAGTTCATACTTGATATTCGGACCTACAGTGGCAAACACATTCTCGTTTGTTCGCCTCTTTAGGCTGCCACATCTAGGAGAATCTTTCTGCTATACCGTCCTTGTTTATAAAGATGTTGCCGTATTATCCTTCATGCTTTGCTTACTATTTCTATTTCAGGTGTCTCTGGTGATTAATTATGACCTTCCAAACAATAGAGAGCTGTACATTCATTGCATTGGTCGCTCTGGTCGTTTTGGTCGAAAGGTATATTTCTTGTCTTCCTCATAAATTAATCCCTTTTTTATCACCTTCACGTTGTCTTCTGTTTTTCTAGCTCACTATGCCTGATAATTCTGCCGCAACTTAAGCTCATCATACGATTACGAAAAACTTGTAGAAATTTCTAGTACAATGTGTAGCATTTAGCAGATGAATATAACTATTCAATACAAGATTACAGCTAAACAAGGACGTCTCCATAGATATATTTGTTTTACAGCCAAAGACCTACTAACAGGAGTGGTATGCCAAATGCCTCATACTCCCCTTGCAGTGCCCCTTAGAACTTAAACAGAGCGCTCTGACAACTGCTTCCACAGAGCTAAAAGAGGACATCTCCTTAGATGTTTTTGTTTTACGGACCAAGACCACAAAGGCCTCATACTCGAAGCTATCTCTTGCAGTGCCCTTTGCTGAAGGAAGTTTAATCTAAAGAAATTCCACAGCACTCTTGACAACTGCTTCATTTGCTCAGCTATTGATCATCGACTCGGTAGTGCAGAGGCAGATACTTATTTTACAATAGCTAACTTATCTACTTGCTTTAAATTTTAATATACCGTCCGGAATGTTGTTGCTTCATTGCAGCGTTCCCATCTTCCCAAACGTTAGAGAACTTATGAAATCATTTATTTGCTTGGGAACCTTTTAGACATAGAGCAATACTACAGTACTCAGATTGATGAAATGCCCATGAATGTCGCTGATTTGATATGAAAGGCTGGAGCTTCCAATCTTCTGAATATGGTTCTGGTGTGGCTGCATTGGTTTGCCTTCTGAGTGGTTTGTACCAAGGATAAGTTTTTGATGGCGAGAAATTGGTGGATGTTCTATTTATTGGTAATGTGTGACATATTGGCTTTCTTGTGCGTCATGTTTTGTTGCGAAGTGTAATTCTGGATGACTGGTTGATCTTTTTTAACATAGGCTTGATAAATTTGTCTGAAGAACTTTGCTGAATTTGCATATGGTGTTAGTTTCGTCTGCTAAGATGTACAAAACTTATCCTGAATGTGGTGATGATGTGTATAATTCCCTTCTATTTCAACCCATACCTATGGGCTGAAAAGTTTGTAACATTTTTGTCGATCCAAGTTGTATCTCAAAGTCACAGGCTGCCCTCGTATTAGCGGAGCACTCCGGCACTTGGTAAAATTACAACTCCTGGGGGCAGCATCTCTGTTTGTTCGAGGTCTATGTTATTGGCAATTCGAATGAATTAATTTTTGTAAAAATAGCACGGTCTAGCCAGTTTTCGGACTGGTCATTCATAAATAGCCAGCGTTTACCAAGTCAATGAAAAATAGTCATTGTTTTGCTTCAACAGAGATCGGTACAGCATAATATACTGGAGTTCGGTGCACCTGTGTATGAACTTCCAGCATATTATGCTGGAACTCCAACACACGGAAAGTTCCATCATAATATACTGGAGATTCGAGCACTTGTGTATGAACTTGCAGCATATTATACTGGACCGGTATACTTTGCTGGAATTCCAGTATATTATGCTGGAGTTCTAGTGTACTTATGCTGAAACTCCATCATATTATGCTGGAGTTCCAGCATACTTATCCTGGAACTCCAGTATAATATGCTGTAGTTCAAGTATACTTATGCTGGAACTCGTATTTTCTGAGTGTTGAACAGTATTTTCGCTCAGATTTATCTTTACATAAAAAGTGGCTAAATTTTAATTACTTTTGAAACTGGGCTATTTTTGAATGATCGCTTGTAAATCTGGCTATTTTTTAATTTCTCCTCTGTATATCTCGCGATTTATGGATGATCTATCGAGATTAATGTCGCTACAGTGTTCCTCTCGAAGAGATATTGCTCGTCTTGTCGTCCCTCAACTGATGTGACGAGAAGTCCAAGTTTCTTGGTCCACCTTGTGAGTTACTTGATATTTACATCAAGCTATATCTATTAACATGATTAAGTGAATAAACTAAACCATGGTTAAATGAGGGTTTGTGCAGGTGGTGCTTTTTCCTAAATTCTTATGTCACTGTTAACCCTAGTGAAAAAGAAAATTTTAAGTCTTCAATCCCTCTCCTCTTTTGCTTCATCCCTCTGTAGCTACATGTTTGTGTAACTCTTTCAAACGATTCGGAAACAGGAAATCGTTAAGTAAATGTATCAGCTTCAAGAAAGAAAGAAAAAAATGAATACAACTTTGACCCCTCAGATGATTCATCTCAAACATTGACTAATTCCCCCTACCTAATATCTTCAGTATTTATTCAGAAAAGATAGGTCTTTAAAAGAAAATACAGAGAGGAGAGTACTTTTATGTTATTGTACCAAATAAAACTACTCATATAAGTCAATAGCTCAGAAAGAAAAGAATCAGATAGGCTCACAAACTCGATATAAGCATCTCGCTTTTTAGACACTCAGGATATAATTACATTGGAAAGAGAACTGAGGGCTTAAAAAACACCCGAAGCACAACCAATAATGCAAACTAATAAAGAGGACTAATTACAGATATGAAACCAAGGAAATATACAGCTTGCAAGACAATTAGCAGAGAGGTGGCCAACTGGTAATTTACAAAACTGTGTTTATATGGAGTGCTTTAAGCAGAGAAGTCGCCATCTGTTTCACCAAAACTTGGCCACCAGAACTCTGTCCATCTCTGCGCTCTTCAATCAAATTCTGAAGCTTTTGAGGTAGATCATTCTCCACAATAAGTTGCTTTGGTCGGGGATGGTGCTCATACACAGCCTGGCATCAAAACATTTTTGAGCAATTCATTAACAAGTGCTTTACCTAACACTATCATTCAGGCAGTGACAGTTTAACAGAAAGAGAATATCTAATTAGCCCAGTGGTGATGCGACTTTTAAGTTACATAGAGTAAACAGTAAACGTGTGTGAGGTAAAATGGCTACACAGGATTCAACGCAGAATTTTTGAAAATTGAATCTTGAGAGGACAATATCAAGTCATCTGAAGGAGGTTTCCCAGTCACAGGGAATAGGACTGAGAGTGAATAGGTGGAAGTTTCATCAAGTATATCATAGTCCCCCTCTGTAGAATAGAACTGATCATGAGAGGCAGAATCAGTGACCAGAAAGTTTCCAATCGGGAAACCAGTGGAGATCATTCAATCCACTGAGACACTCTAGAACAAATACCCATAATAGAACCACTCAAAAGCAATAATTTCACACCTTTATCAACTTGAGCAAATTCAGTCGAGCTATAGCATCTCGGTGGTCAAGCCTAGAGACAAGCAATGGTGTTAATCCATTGACAGCGAGAGTTGTATTTATTCGAGATGATTTCCTGCATCAAAATTAACCAGAGATCAAAGAATAAACTCATAATTAAATTCCATGTTAAAAAAAAAAAAAAAGGTCAACAACGCAAATTCAGTATGCAGGACTAGAGTCGACAACCTCTGTTATACTGTATGGGCTTATTAATTACTCATATCATATGAAAAAAGACAATTAGGAATTCAAACTAGTGTTACAATGTTGAGAAAGGGCAAAAAGAGGCATTAAGAGTATTGCTCATCTAGTAGGATAGAATCCATTTAGAGACTAACTAATCAAAAACAGCCTCACAGCCAAATAAGCTATGAAACGATATTAGATGTATCAGCTCTACTACATAAGAGTTCATCTACCAGGATCTGGATAAATGTATCTAGGCAGCAGCACTATTTTCCTTCTCTTTTGATAGGTGCATCTTGCCAGCTAAACTACTGCCAAGCCAAAATGATCAAACTTACCACTATTTTTGCTTTTGTTCCAAGCAACCATGTTTCCAGAAGTCATTCAATTGTAGGCAGATTCATTAACGCAAGTTTAAAAAAGACAAACACGCAACATATGCAGTGACGGAGCCACTCATTGGCAAGGGGAGTCAATTGACACCCCTTCGTCAGGAAATTACACCCGCGTAGATAGGTTGAATATTATATTTTTATGCATATATACTATGTGTTGACTCCTCTTAATTTTTTCATATGCTTACTAATTTATATTTTGACTCCCCCTGGGGAAAATTCTGGCTCCGCCACTGAACATATCCAAGCAGCAAACAGGCAAAGTGAAAACTCGAAAAGTGACATACGTGATAATTTTCAAGAAAGGTTCCAGTATGTGCAGAAAATGCTGTTCTGGACAGCATTCGAAGAACTTGACCATTTTCTGTATAGCATCCTTTTTGAGCAAAGCTTGTTCCACTTTCCTGCTTTCGTTGTCATGTGCCAAACAAACAGCAATGGAATCTAATGCTGTGACAGACCAGAGTTCATCTTCAAGTAAGCTCAGGTATACATCAAGTCCACCATGAGCACGAAGTTGCTCTCTTGAATTACGTGACGCATGAGCCATATCACATAGAAGAGGTAATGCATATTGTTTCAACGGAGAACTGGTCATGATAAAATGCATCAAGTGTGGAATAATTCCATTTTCCGCAGCTTGCTCCTGTCTTCTCTTATTGATCTTGCAGAGGTTGAACAATGCATGGAGAACCTGCAGCAAGGAAAAAAGCAAGAAAAAGTCCATGAGCATAGACTTCAGATATCACAACTAGAAATATACGCTGAGCAGTCACCTTACAGTGAATGTGTAAGCTTTAATTAGTTATTAAAAAAGAAAAAAATACTAAGAATATACCTATATTGACCGCGGGGGGTTTTTGGGGGGGGGGGGGGTGTCAAGGAAAATAAAAAGGCACCGTCATATTCGATATTATACAAGAACCACCATTGGGGTAATTTACTTCTTCTTGTTACACTAACATTAGGTTTCCGTATGAATAAGTGGGAGATTTAGAGAGAATCTAGTTTCAGAGACATATAATTTGCATTAAAAGACAGGTTACTTACTAGCATTGAAATGTAAGGGGACCAAATAGAGTGGACTATACAGAGGTTTAATGTTGCTGACCCGATTAGTTTGGGATTGGAGTGTTATTTTGTTGATAGTTTATTATATTCCAAGGACTAAGACAAGACACAATATCAAAACTAAAAAGTTGTAAAAAAAAAAACAACTGCTAGTGCAATCTGCAGAAACTCTCAAAACCCTGTACTTCCACTAAACGATTCTGTTCTGTTATAAGAGATCAGAGCGTTCGAAGTTCCATCAGAACAGCCATTTACAACTGACGAACCATAAGCAGACGATCTCCAACCAAATGATAACAAGAAGTGACAAGGCCAGGTGCATAACATGGTCCCTCTTCAAGAAAAAACCAAATAATAGAGTTCACATCCTCAATTGCAAACATAGACTAAACAGAGAGTGAAATTTATACAAATAAATTTACAGAATAGGCATTTTATGGATCAAAGAGAATTTTCACAAAGATTATAGGAAAAAATATTGAGATAATACGGAGTTCTAGTTTTGTTGTTTATGTTTCACTGAGTGAGCACAATATTTTGCTAAGGATCATAGAAGTAAAGAGCAGTGAACTGCGAAACGATAAACTTAGCACTCCAAATCCTAATTTACCATGTACATGAATGATGCATCCAATTCGTAAATTGGTTTCGTTGTAAAAACATATGCATCACCATGCTCTCTGGTTAACCGATGAATTAAATGCTTAAATTACCTCATGATGTATTTGGGACACAAGAGGGCCCTCTTTGAGATCAAGATTGGGTATCAAATACTTGATTGCATCTGCTCTCTGGAGATGTTCTAAGCAGTGTGGGTCTGTTGAAAGGTGATTAATGCATTTCAATAGCTGCAAAAAAAAAGGGAAAAAAAGGAACCGTCATGAGCATAGTTGTGTGATAATAATAATAATAATAAAAAGCATTGCAGGGCAGAAATTTTTACTAGAAAAGAAGTACCTTAAGAAGAATAGGGGGCTCTATCTTATTAAACATCTGAAAAAGACGGCTGAGCAAACTTTGGCTGCACATGAAGGATTTTACAGTTGTGTCTGCTGCAGCAAACTCAAGCAGAAGGTCTGCTACCTTTTCCAAGTATTCCCTAGCAACATCAGCATTCCAGGGCGACACCATGTGTGAAAGTATTCCAGATGATGCTGCACTTCCTGGTCTAGCATTTAACACTCCAGAGCCGGACAATACACCTGACGCAGTCTGTGATGCAAGTCCAGAAGTTGAAGCAACTCCATCAGTAGAAGCTGCCCCTCCAACTTTCTTAGTGGCAGCTTTATGTGGACTTCTAGGCAATGACTCCAAGTTAGTATTTTCCCTTCCACGTCCAGAAACCTCTGTTCAGCCATTTAGAGAAGATGAAAATAAGAGTCTGCTGGATGGTAATCAAAAGACAATGCCTTGCAAAAAAAGGAGTATTACAAACACTTCAATTCTTATCAAATTCCAATAGGAGGCAGGGAAGTTTGCTATTTAAAAACAAGTGAAACAAGCAGCTGAATCATTACCTGCAAATTCAGCCATCAAAAAGTCCAAACCATTTGTTTTCTTTTCATTAGATGCATGCAGAAGAGGGAGTATGCTCTCATGCTTCTCCAGTCCAGGAAGATTGTGAACATATTCAAGCTGACCCGAAAAATGGCGAGATGGGGGTTCCTTCTCCAACAAACTAAGAAGGGGCCGTACATTCTCATGCGGAGTAGCTGTTGAAGCAGAAAATCCATATGATGCCCTGTCAGTCGATATTCTACTTGTATTGCCACCTCTTTGCTGCCTAAAGTCAATCTCAGCTCGAGAGAGATCATTTTTGTATCTGTCTAGGCTTTCTCGATCTCTAGAAACAGATGTTCCATCTGGCAATCTTGATGGACCTGAAGCTTCCACTGTAGCATTACTTGACCGAGGCCTCTCAAAATCCTGTCGAAAAAATGGAGAATCTGGTGAATGTGAAGCTGAAGTACGTGAAGGTTCCTGCATTCCAGCTGGCAAAACACGCTCTCCATTCTTAATCTTAAGCATATCTGGCTGATCAGTTCCATAAGGGGGCATTTCAGTCTGCATAAATGAAGAATTGCCAGGGTCAAGTGGCCCAGACCGTGGTCGGGGAGCCAATCCATCAGGAGGGAACCCACCTCCACCAGATGCAGAAGCTAAACGAGCCGCTTCATTCAAGCTGTAGAGAGTGTTGATGAGCCTGAGTAGAATTCCATTTTTAGCAGCTATGCGGCAAAAATCATTTCTAGGAGTAGATCGCTGAAGCTTAAACACCTGCCACATACCATCTATAGCCATGTGAACCATTTCCCTGCATGCATTTTGGGAGGGAGACTTTAGAAAATATTATTTGCATAATAGTTAATTTAGGTCTGCCTGTTTTCTATCTAAAGTTCTAAACTAAAGAAAAGCTAAAGAGAAAGAAAAAAGGCAAAGTGGAAAAGGAGAAGATAGGATGGGGTTCATAGAGATTATCCATTATTTATAGCATTGTCCTATCAACATCTGGATCGCCAAATTCATAAAAGTTCTACTGTCTTTGTGAGATATAAGATGTGAGGTTTAGGTAAAGGCAAAAGTCTCATTTAGTTGATTGATATTCTTCATGCTTTTGGACTGACTGACTCGGTTTCTTTTGCAGCCCTATCATCTGAGAGCATTGAGAACCTATGAGATGCTCCATCAAGGAAATCGAAGGGCAACATGAGCAAGATATCCTTGATTTCTGGGGTCCAACATGAACCTGCAAACAATCTGGTATTCTTTTGATTCTGAGGATAGTAGGATACAAAACCAGTGGTGAAGTTTCTTACTCTGGAGCATACCTTTTTCTTTTTTGTCTTTTTTATAAGTAATTGGTAATACCAATTATGTAATATGATGCTCTGAGTCAATGCTATAAAACTACGCGAACTGCAGTTACATTTTCAACTTTGCCAAAAAGTTTCATAAAGCTTCCTAAATCATTTCTTTCTAATTGATAGCAAAAGTTTTCTAAAGCATTTGGCTTTCTGCTTGTGCATGGTCGACTTTCTCTCCTTTGAAACACCTCTAGTTTCTTGCCTTCCAAATGTCCCAAAAATAAATAAAATTCTATCTTACACTCCATACTGGTAGGAGCTCAAAGACAGAATGTTGTATCACCAATTCAACCCCGACTAGTAGCAGGAACATACTACAAGCAACTGTATTTCTTTTACAATGCACGAAGAAATGGTCTACAGATTCAACTTCTTCCTCAGATAAGGTAACAGATGCTGCAAAGTACTTTCCATATCTTCTGCAGACGGTCCATTGGGCAAACAGCCTCATGTGCTGCTGTCAAGCTAAGGACAGCAACTTTGAGAGGAGCTTTGCTTTCCACATATATCCACATAGATTGCAGATGCCTTCTTCTGCTTTCATTACCAACGGGAATAGAAAGGTTTCGGTGTGAACTTTCCGTTATTTTCTCCCAACCATAGTAAAGCATCAGATTATTGTCTTAGGTTTTCAAGACAAAAAATAGGTACATTAACAAAAAATAGGTAAAGATGTTACTAACCACAGTATTAATCAGCATTAACCACATGAAGTCAAACTGTTTGTCACTTGTTTGACAAACCTCCAAAAGACATTACTAACAGTACTTAAGCTATATTTTTAGTGGCGATTATTAGAAAGACCTGGTGATAAACCTCCAAAAGACAGATGTCTGTTCATGATGCCAATTGTTTCTCTATGTGTTTGAACCACATCTCAAATTGACTTTTCTCTATATTTGCTTCAAATTGTAAAATCTCCAGGTGAGTGGTTGGTAGAAACCTAATCACACATTCCAGTATGCTTGCCATACTAACTATTTTCTTGGTCCAACCTCCCCCCCCCC